CCCCTTGACACCACCGGCAAGGCTGCAAGTCCAGGCTGCCCAAGTTCATCCCACGGTCAGCACACACAGGAGCCTGGGTATGTGCTCAGCCTTTTCTGATGACCTCTGGTGGTGGTGGGGGGAGGGGTCAGAGGTCTCTCCTGCCAGTCCAGGGAGGAGGGGATCCTGGGCTCCCCACTCGGGCTTTGCTGGCAGGGCTGGGGGCAGGTGTGCGTGGTGCTGGCCTGGAGCAGAGCAGTTGTTTTCTGTCCTGAAACGCTGCTCCTTTCTCGGCCGGTTGTCTGGAGACGAGGCTTTTCTTCAGAGCTGTTTCCCCTGTACTCATGGCCGCTGCTGGCTTCTTGAAGCGCCCAGTGGGATACTGAGGACAAGACGGAAGGCCAGGGGCGGGCGTTGTGGCGTGGCGGGTTGGGTCCTGCTGGGACGCCCTCGGCCCACGTGGGAGGGGCTGGCTCAAGGCCTGGCTCCCCTGCTTCCCATCCGGCTTCCTGAGGATGTGCCTTCCCTGGAGGCAGCAGACCATGGCTCAGGTGCTGGAGTCCTCGTCCCTCCCGTTAGAGACCTGCATGGAGTCCCCAGCTGCTGGCTACGGGCTGGCTGCGGCTGGGCTCGCTGGCTCGGCCCTGGCTTGGCCTAGCTCGGCCTGGCTCGGCCCTGGCTCTTGTGGGCATTTGGGGAATGCATCAGGAGCTAGAAGATATCTCTGTCTCTGCCTCTCTCTGTCACTCTGCCTTTCATAGAAATAAATAAATCTTGGGGCTGGCACAGTGGCGAAGCGGGTGAAGCCACCACCTGCAGTGCTGGCATCTCATATGGGTGCCGGTTCAAGTCCCAGCTAATCTACTTCCAATCCAGCTCTCTGCTATGCCTGGGAAAGCAGTGGAGGATGGTGAAAGTCCTTGGGTCCCTGCACCTGTGTGCGAGAACCAAAAGAAGTCCCTGGCTCCTGGCTTCGGATCGGCTCAGCTCTGGCCGTTGCGGCCATTTGAAGAGTGAACCAGTAGATGGAAGACCTCTCTCTCTCTCTTTTTCTCTCTACATCTCTGTAACTCTGACTTTCAAATAAATAAATAAATATTAAAAATAAGAAAGAAATCTTAAGAAAAAAAATCCACGAAAATCCAAAGCGCTCGCTGCGGAGTCGTTCCTTGGGTCCCGAAGTCCCCAGCCAGTCGGCCTTCTTCCCATCACTTTTCAGAGTCCTGCATTTGTTTCTCATACAAGTGTCCAGGGTCCCCAGCTGTACTCAGCGGGAAGAACAGGGAAAAGCACATCTGGTCTGTCTGGGAACAGAAGTCCTGTCTCATTGGCTAAGACAATGATCTAGGAAAGAAAGAATTAAAAACAAAAGCAAGCATTTTGCAGAGGTTGGGCCACTGTGAGGATCTCGCCTCTACCAGTTAACAGAGGAGCCAGTTGGCCTGCAGCCCTGGGCCTCGCCATGGCTCCCACCAGGAGATTGGCATCATTATGGGTACTGTCCCACACCACTTTGGCCGAATAGATTTGATCGTGTGCAACCTTGAAATCATCGAGCCTGTACAATAAGCAGCTGCTGCGAATCCCTTTGTCAGAGAAGTGAACAAGAGTTTCATTCCGCTCCTGGAGGCTCTCCCAGCTGTGCTGACCCCGTGGGAACACTGGCCAGCGGCTCTCCTTGCAGAACCAGCGTGCGTCCGTGAGAGAGGGCAGCAAGCTTGTAGAAACTGCCCACGCAGGACGGAGATTCAGACCATCCCGTGAGCCCAGACCTGCCCCTTTACGTTCCCCGCCGAGAGCACTCATAAAACCAGGAGGCAGATACTCAGGGGCAGAGCCTCCGAGGTAAGAGAGGCGACGTCCCTGGCAGCACCCAGAGAGTGTCCCAGGCCAGCTGCCGCCACCCGCGCGCCTGTGCCTGTCAGGACTGTAGCGCCATCTGTTCACTTTCTCCAGCAGGTACCAGGGTTTTCCCTGGAACTCATCCTGTTTTGTTGAAACATCTTTAACCTGTTATTTCACCTCCAGAAATTTGCATTTAAATGTCTTACAGGCATCATCATCATAAACACAGAACAACACAGACCAGTAAAATGCTCTAAACGTCACCATCTGTTCCGTCACGTGACCGTAAGGCAAGGCGTCCACTCAGCCTCGGTCTCCAGACTGGTTCCTCACAGACGCCTTTTGAACCTGTTAAAATGGATTCTTCAAAGCCGGCGCTGTGGCACAGCACATTAAGCCGCCGCCTGCGATGCCAGCATCTCACATCAGAGCGCTGGTTCAAGTCCTGGCTGCTCTGCTTCCGGTCCAGCTCCTTGCTAATGCACCCGGGAAAGCAGATGGCCAAAGTACTTGGGGCCCTGCCACCCATGAGGGAAACCCAGATGGAATTCCAGGCTCCTGGCTTCAGCCTGGCCGTGACCTGGTTATTGTGGGCATTTGGGGAGTGAACCAGCAGATGGAAGATCTCTCTGCTTCTGTCTCTCCCTCTCTCTGTCGCTCTGCCTTAAATAAATGAATAAATAAATAACCAAACCCACATTCTTCTATGGCCAGGATACAAGGGCACCCCTTCTTTGCCTGCTTCTTTTCACCCCCAAACTTTGAGGCATATCCACAGCTCAGTCCCTAATTTTCACTCCATCTATTAAAAAAAAAGGCTTTAAACATAGGATTTTCTTTCTAAAGTGATTTTCTGAGAAATTGTGGTAAAGGATGTATCACACACATTTCCCCACTTTGGCCATTTTAAGCATCCAGTGCAGTGGCATTAAGTGCATTCAGATTGTCGCGTGGCCATCATCACCCTCTATCTCTGAAAGTTTCCTTCCCAAGCTGAATCACCGCACTCACTAAAGCCCAGCTCTGCACTGCCCCGCCCCCAGCCCCTGGCGTCTTCCCTCTCCCTGGCCCTCCTCCAGGTCCCCACACTACTGTACTTGCGCGACTGGCTTGTATCACTGGCACGATGCCTTCAAGGATCCACATCGACACATGTGCTAAAATTTCCTTGCTGACTGAGGTCCTTTTTAAGACTGAATCGTATTCCACGGCTCGCTGTTCACTCACCAGCCACCACCAGGGTTGCTTCCAGCTTCTGTCTAGTGTGAATAATGTGCTATGAACAAGTGTCTCGCTGAGTCCCTGCGTAACAACTCTTGGGCATATTCCCAGAAGTGGAATTGCTGGATTCTATGGTCATTTCACGTTTAAGTTTTTGCAAAATCCCCATTCTTCTTTTCCATGGAAGATACACCAGAACTGCGGACCATTTTACGAAGCAAGTGACATCCTTGAGTGGACCAGGCTGATCTTTCTGTATTGCACCAGCTGCTGCCAACGTGAGCACTCAGGATTGTTTTTAACCCAACACTGAAGGTGGATTCACACACTTCTGCTCAACTTTAAAGGGTGTAATTGACAAATTAAAACATGATACAGGGGCTGGCGCTGTGGCACAGTGGATTGATGCCCTGGTCTGAGGCGCCGGCATCCCATATGGGCGCTGGTTCAAGTCCCGGCTGCTCCTCTTCCGATCTGGCTCTCTGCTGTGGCCTGGGATAGTGGTGGAGGATGGTTCAGGTCCTTGGGCCCTTGCAGCCACCTGGGAGACCTGGAGGGGGCTCCTGGCTCCTGGCTTCAGATCGGCACAGCTCCGTCCGTTGCGGCCATCTGGGGAGTGAACCAGAGGATGGAAGACACCTCTCTCTCTCTCTCTCTCTCTCTCTCTCTCTGCCTCTCTCTGTAACTCTGTCTTTCAAATAAATAAAATAAATCTTAAAAATGATATATTTGAAGTGTACAACTTAACATTTTTATATGCGTATACATTGTGAAAGGATCTCACAATTAAGCAAATTAACACAGCTGTCACACTGACCGTTTACCTTCCTTCTTTCCCTTTTCCCTGGTGAGAACATTTCCGATCTGCCCTCTTTGCAAGTTTCCAGTCTGTAACACAGCCCTGTAACCTCGACTCGCTGAGCTGCACATCAGATCTCCGGAATGTGTCATCTTGTGTAACTGGCACTTTGTACCCTTTGGCCAACATCTCCCCCGTCTCTGCCTTTCCCCAGCCCCTGGCAACCACGATTCTACTCCCTGCTTCTATTACTTTGCCTGTTTAGATTGCACAGTGCTGGCTGCCTGAGCCGGCTTATTTCACTTAGCCTAATGTCCTCCAGGTTCATCCATGCTCTGAGTGGCGGAATCTCATTTTTAAAAAAAGGCTAATACTCACATTTTCTTGATTCAGTTATACGTTCGCTGTCCATTAAAGTTCTTTCCAAGTCTTGGCTATTGTGAACAATGCTTCAATGAACGTGGGAGATAGCTGTGTCTTCAAGGCCTTCCAATTCTTTTGGATATACACCCAGAAATGAGACTGTTGGATCATACTTCAGTTCCATTTTTAATTTTTCAAGGGACCTCCCTACTGTTTTCCATAATAACTGTAGCAATGTATATTTCCACCAACAGTATGGAAGAGTTGTCTTTTCTTCACATTCTCATCTGTACTTGGTATCTTTGGTCTTTTTAATAGTGGCTATCCTAACGTGTGAGATGAGAGCTCATTTGCATTTCCACGATGATTAGTGGTAGTGAGCATCTTTTCATATACACACGTGGACCACGTGTACGGTTTGTTTGAGAAATGTCTATTCAGGTCCTTTGCCCATTTTAAAATCAGATCAGGCCAGTGCCGCGGCTCACTAGGCTAATCCTCCACCTGTGGCACTGGCCACCCGGGTTCTAGTCCCGGTTGGAGCGCCAGATTCTGTCCCAGTTGCTCCTCCTCCAGTCCAGCTCTCTGCTGTGGACCAGAAGGGCAGAAGACGGCCCAAGTGCTTGGGCCCTGCACCCGCATGGGAGACCTGGCTCCTGGCCTCAGATCGGCGCAGCGCGCCGGCCGTAGTGGCCATTTGAGGGGGTGAACCAACAGAAGGAAGACTTTTCTCTCTCTCTCTCTCACTGTCTAACTCTGCCTGTCAAAAAAAAAAAATCAGATAATTTATTCTCTTGCTGTAGAGCTGTATGAGTTCTTTATGTATTTTGGATATCAGCCCCTTATTAGATACATGATGTTCATGTCTTTTCTCCCATTCCTTAGGTTGTATTAGTTGTTTCCTTCACTGTGCAGATACTTGATGGTTTAATGCAATCCCATTTGCCTACTTTTGCTTTTGTTGTCTGCGCTCTTGGGGTCAAATAAAAAAAGGACTAATATCAAGAAGTTTTTTCCCCTGTATTTTCTTCTAGCACTTTTGCAGTTTTAGATCTTATGTCTTTAGTCCATTTTGAGTTTTGTGTATGGTGTGAGACAAGGATCTAATTTAACTCATCTGCATGTGGATGTACAGTTTTCCGAATGTGGTTTGTTTAAGACACAGTCCTTTCCCTGCTGTGCATTGTAGGCACCCTGTAAATGCATGAGCTTATTTCTGGGTTCTCTCTCCTGGTTCATTGGCCTATAATGTCTGTTTATATTGCCAGTACTGTCCTGTTTTACTCATTGTAGCTTTGTGCTGTATTTTGAAGACAGTGAATGTGTTGATTCTACCTTTGTCCATGCCAAAGAATGTTTTGGGTATTTAAAATATTTTGTAGTTTCATATAAATTTTTTTTGACAGGCAGAGTGGACAGTGAGAAAGAGAGACAGAGAGAAAGGTCTTCCTTTACCGTTGGTTCACCCTCCAATGGCTGCTGCATCCAGCACACTGTGGCCAGCGCACCACACTGATCCGAAGCCAGAAGCCAGGTGTTTCTCCTGGTATCCGTGCGGGTGCAGGGCCCAAGGACTTGGGCCATCCACCACTGCACTTCTGGGCCACAGCAGAGAGCTGGCCTGGAAGAGGGGCAACCGGGACAGAATCGGCGCCCCGACTGGGACTAGAACCCGGTGTGCCGGCGCCGCAGGCGGAGGATTAGCCTATTGAGCCACGGTGCCGGCCTCATATGAATTTTAACATGCTTTTTTCTGTTTCTGTAGAGAATGCCATTGAGATTTTGATAGGGACTATGTTTGATCTGTGTATTCCCTTTGGGGAATACAGACATTTGACAATATAAATTCTTCCAGTCCATGAACACAGGGTGCTCTTCCATTTATCTGAATCTTCTTTAAATTCCTTCATCAATATTTTATAATTGCCAGTGTAAAACTCTTCTACCTATTTTATTAAGTTTATTCCTGAGTATTTTATTCTTTTTGATGATATGGTAAGTGGGATTGTTTTTGTAACTTTCTTTTCCAGATACTTCATTGTTAGTGAATAGAAGTACTACTACCTTTTGTACATTGATTTTGTGTCCTGCAACTTTATTGAATTTACCTATTAGTTCTGAGCATTTTTTGTTGACTTTTTAGTGGTTTCTTCATCAATAATCATGTCAGATGAACACAAAATTGTATTTCTTTGTTCCTAATTGAAGTGCTTTTTTTTTCTTCTCTAACTGCTCTGGCTAGGACTTTCAGTATTAAACTGAAGATAAATGGTGAGAGTAGGTATCTTTGTCTTGTACAATATATTACAGGAAACTCTTTCAGTTTCTCCCACTGATTATTATGTTATCTTTGGGAGTCTTATATGGTCTCTATCATGTTGAGGCACATTCCTTCTATGCTTATTTTGTCGAGTTATTATTGTTAATATGATTAGATGTTGAATTTAGTCAACATCAAGTGCTTTTTCTGGCTCTGTTGAGACTATTTTGTGATTCCTTCACTCTGTTAATATGATGTTTCACATCTATAGATTTGTATATGTTGAGCCAACTTTGCATATCTCAGGTAAATCTGACATGGTTATGTGTATAATCCTTTGAATGTACTATTGAATTTGGTCTGCCAGAATTTTATTGAGGACCTTTGCATCTCTTAGAAGGTATTGGTTCTATAAAACACAAATAAGACACTGTAAGAAGTTCGTAGAAATAAAAATCACAGCTAAAATTTTTAAGAAATGGGTGGAGGAAAAAGTCAAGGGAATTAAAGGCAGAACAAAAAGAATCTAAGGAAAAGCTTTTCAAAATAAAGGACATTGGACTCCAATTGGAAAGTTTCACAGGGGACTTGTTGCAACGAGAGAAGACCCATGTCAAGGTGTATCACAGAAACATTTTAGGACCCAGGACTCAGAAGTTCCCTAAAAGTTCTCAAGGAGTAAAATAATGAGAGAGAGGTCATGCACAAAGAATAGAAGCAGAATGACCCCAGACTTCTCAGGACCAACACAGTACCAGACACTAACTGAACAAACCCAGCAAAAACCTTGCAGAATAGAAGAGTGTAACTTCGAGTTTTATACCCTGCTAGGCTACCAGTCATGTATGAGGGCAGAATTAAGGTTCTTTCACTCATCCATAGACAATTTGCCTATGGGAAACTCTTTCAAAGAAAGCACCAAGAAATGTTCTAGTAAATGCTCTACATAGTTAAAAAAGCAGGGAGTTATGGGATCCAAGAGACAGGGGATTTGACTTCACACAGCAGTGAAGACCAAGTTGATGGGGAAGGGGGGCACCAGTCTAGAGTAAATGAGGGGTTTGGGTGAGTATAGAGAAAGAATTAAGGATATGTATTTGGAAAGATGTGCAAGTGAAAATAATAATTAATTTTGAAAACAAACACACTTCTGCACACGGAAGGAAGTGTAATCATACCTCACTTAACTCCGCGGTAGAATCGGAAGTAACTGACGTGCAGCCAGAATGAGAGGTTCCCTTGTTTCAGGGAGGCGGTTCCCCTTTGCAGGTAATTGGGAACTCAGTGTGGTTTCAACCGTAGAGGGGACTGTGCACACAACTGATGGCTTTGAAGGTAATGTAGGCTCCCACGATCTGTTTAGAGTCTCCAGTTTCCTTTTTCCTCCTTGGCCTCTGTACCATCTATTCAAAGTAAGGCTGACTTTGGCCATGGTTGCAAGGTGTCTCCCAGCATCGAGGGACATCCTGTTCATTGGGCAGGACCATCAGGAAAGACTGTTTCTCCAGCTCTGCAGAAGAACAAAGAAATGCTGCCTATTTCCTCCGGAAAACCTCTCCTTGGTTGACACCTGGCTCTGTGCCTTTTCTTGAACCAATCACTATAGCTTATGAGGTGAGGTTCAGCCAGTTAGGACCCACTCTTGGGACTAGAGATGAGACCAGCTTCCCAGGAAAGAAGTGATTCCACAGGGTGAAAGGTGGACACCCAGTTACAAGAGGAAGAGGGGTGGATATTAGCTGGTTATGAAAGAGCCAGTGTCTGTTTTACAGCAGAAGTTACGTAGCTAAACACAGAGAAGTGGCTCCAGGGGGCCACACAGATTAGAGGAATGAAAGAGCCAGACCCACATCCATCATAATTCAAAATCAATAGAGAATGTCAAATTTATGGATCAATAAATAGTAGTTTAAACATGTTATTTAGAAATATGGAGGTAGCTACAGGAGAGGAACAGCTGGTAGAGGTATAAAGAGTTATAAATTGCTACCTCCGAGGGGGCAGCCTGGTGGGATAGGGTAAGGCATTTAGGTTTTTCAGAAGATTTTTGTGTGATTTGATTTAAAAACTGTGTTCATGCATTACTTTGATTAAAAATTTAAGCAAACAAACAAACGCCAAGCTTTCATGAAAAAGCCTGAAATGCGATGAAATGGAAAAGTAGAGACTGCTGACTTTGCTTTGTGACAAAGACTTGTCAGGATGCAAAACTCCAACATGGCACCCACCGCGCACGCACACACACACTGCACACACATACACACACACACACAGCCACTGTTTTCATTAGAGCCGCACGCCACGAGGGTGTGCTGTCTTCTCTGGCTTCCCGCACGAGCCCGCACACTGCCACACGTCCCTGGGGGACGGGGGAAAATGTGCCCTCGTTTGATAAGGAGAGATTAAGGTGCATCAGGGCAAAGAGCTGGAAAGGTTTTCAGAAAGAGAAAACCCAAACCTTTCCCAGAGCACCACGGCCAAGGTCCCCTGTGAACAAAACACAATAGCACAAAGCCAAGGTTTCAAAGGCGCTGGCTTTGGGGGGCTGTGAGAGTTCGGCCCCGCTCTCTCCTTCCCAGGTGGGCAGAACTGGGCTGCCTCGCTCTCCCTCTTGTCGCAGACAGTTTCGCCGCCATGTTGATTCTCCTGTCCTCTCCCGAGACCACAGACAGTGCCTCCAGCAGCACCCTGGAGGCCTGTTCTCTGGTTTGTCGCATCAGCCTGGTCCCAAGTTGCTTGTTCCTGCTCTTTTTATTTTTTTTTAAGGCAGAAAAAGAGAAGGAGAAAGAGAGATTGATTTTCCAATCACTGGTTCACTCCCCAAATAGGCACAGTGGCTAGGCAGGGCCAAGTGGAAGCCAGGGTCAGTGACAGCCAGGGTTGCTTGGTGTGATACAGAGATTCTTCCAGTATTTAGGATGTCCCTGGGGAGAGAAATTCCGGTCAAGGGCCAGGCTTACTTCCAGGTGAGATGTCTGGGACTTGGAGTACTGCTGTCTAGGTTTTCAGAAGGCTGGTTTTGGAAGGCTGTGGAATCTGGGGACATTGTTGTGTTATAGGCCAATGAGTAACTTCTGCTACTAACTCCAATGTCTTTGCCATTTGTTACTGTAGTTTATGATTTCCTCAAAGGCTTATGGGAGCAACTGAGTCAGTGAAGGATTTCAAGGTCATGACCAAAGCCAACACCAGCTGTACAGCAGGTTAACTACATGGCCTGCAATGCTGGGATTGGACGTGTTTGCTGAGACAGTGCAGACCGCACAACGCCCAGGAGTGCAAGCCTCACTCCCCACGTTTCAGCTCAAGTCTCCCACCTGTCAGAGTGCCACACCCCTCCTCATTCACATCCCAGTCACCAACCCCCAACCCCCACCCCACAGGATCCCAACAATGCTCATAAATCCCAGGAAACATCCTGGGGTTTGCTCTTTTAAAGATTTATTTTATTTAAAAGACGGAGTGACAGAGAGAGAGAGAGAGAGATCTTCCATCTGCTGATTCATTCTCCAAATGGATGGCCAGGCCGTGCCGAAGCCAGAACTCCATCTGGGCCTCCCACAAGGGCGGCAGAGCCCCAAGCATTTCGGCCATCTCCTGCTCCATCCCAGGCACGTGAGCAGGGAGCCGGGCTGGAAGCAGAACAGCCTGGACTCCAGCCAGAGTTCCTCTGGGATGCTGATATTGCAGGCAGTGGCTTAACCTACAGTGCCACAGCACTGGCCCCTGAGAGTCCTTTTTAAAGAAAAATAAAAAATGAAACAAAATTCAGAAGCAGAAACCACAGAGAATTACAGATTAACCATCTCTTCTTATTTCTAAATCCACTTTGCTTCAGCTGGAATACTGGACTCGTCGCCTACCCGGGGCTCTCGGGTTTTGTGTTGACCATGTTCCCCATCACAGCACACCAGGTGAAATATTTAGCTCCTGATTAAAATGTAAATCCCACAGAAATAACCAAACGCACACAAAGATGTTGATTCGAACTATCATCACGAAACTCAAAACTCACCGACCAAAGATCGCATTCGGTGAGAATCGTACAAGAGGCCTTCAGAAAGCGCTTGCGAAGTGGAACTCAAAGGTAATCTGTTTTGGTGCAAAGCATTTTGCAACCCAGGGGCCGGCGTTGTGGCACCAGGGGTTAGTTAAGCCGCTGCCAGGGATGCTGGCGTCCGTATCAGAGTGCCTGCTGGAGTCCCAGCTGCTCTGCTTCCCATCCAGCTCCCTGCTAACGCGCTTGGGAAGGCAACAGAAGATGGTCCACGTGCTTGGGCCCCTGCACCCATGTGAAAGACCAAGATGGACTTCCAGGCTCCTGACTTTGGCCTGGCCCAGCCCCAGCCATTGCGGCCATTCGGGGAGTGAACCAGCAGGTAGATTTTTCTGTCTCTTCCTCTCTCTGTCTGTCACTCTTTCAAATAAAATTTTTAAAAAAATCTTAAAATCCGTGCATGATTGCTTCCTAATATGCATTTTGCATGAATTTTTTGAAGTACCCTCCTGTTCATCGAGCACCAAATCTGTGTGAGGAGCTCCAGTTTCACCGTTGGCGCCCTCCGCACTTACCCTTGATGTGCCGTCCGCAGCGTGGGCTAAGTTGTTAGGGAGGTGGCCCCAGCCGCCGGAGCCCTCCTTGCCTTGCTGATTTCGGAGCAGCTGCTGGGAGTTCCGGGCAGCCACCCTCCGTGTGCTGGGGAAGCCCCTGGCAGATGGCGCTGCCTCTGCCTCTCTTGCCTGCAGCGGAGACGGTCCCCCTGGGTCATCAGCCGAACAGCTGTCCTTTGGAACTTGAGCTCTTCTCTTATCTCTGGCCCCCAAGTCTACAAAGTCCCAGCTCTTCTCTGGCCAAAAAAATGTCCATGTCCTTTGTGCAGGCGTCCAGCGGAAGGTGGAAGGATACAAGGTTCGAGCACCGCCTTGGGGGCAGAGGGCTTGAGGTCAGCTCCTGACTCCAGCGCCTGCTCTCTGTGGGAAGGCGGGCAGGTGATTCCATCGTGGGGGTGGAGTCCGGAGCACACGTCGGCCCTAGCTCGCAGGGAGGTGCGCGTGCAGCATTCGGCTTGGTGCCTGGCACAGGGTAAGCATTCAGTGAGGCGGTTACTAACAGCTCTTCCTGCTTCAGTGTGAGAAAAGGAGGAATTGTTTGAGTCTAAAAAACAAAATCAGTATTTTCACACAAAATGCAATTAATACTAGCAATTGATTGTTAGGTCAGTGCCCTGAGGGTTCTTGTTTTTCTCATGTCCTAGGGCAGAAATAGAGTACGTACATGAGTGGGTTGTACGAGAACATATTCACTGCTAGCTAATCTACATCACTGAGGTATACTTTGAAGCAGGGCTGAAGGACAAACAGACCTCTGTCTGCAGACAAGCGTCCAGCCAAGATGGCAAATAGGAGCTAGTTTTCTGTCCCTCCCCTTCCCGCCCCTACTTCCTGTCCCCTACCTGTGGCAGACATCATTAATCAATCACAACTTCCCGTCTTGTTGATCCTGAATTCAGCCTAATGATTCTTTTCCTTTTTTTCTGTGCTGAAGTGTTTTAAAGCAAATCCCAGGTTATTATGTTATTATATTCCTGCAAGGTACATCTCTACAAGATGTGAATTCTTTCTTACATAATAACAATGACATTATCATGCCTAATAAAATTAACAATAAATCCTTTGTATTGTCTAACACCCACTTCATAATCAAATTTCCTTGACTGTCTCAAAATAGTTGATTGTGTTCAACAGAACTGAGTTTTAGCAAAAGTGACATTTTCTTTTCTTTCTTTCTCTCTTTCTTTTCTTTTCTTTTTTTTGGGTAAGGTTTATTTATTTATGTGAAAGGCAGATACAGAGAGAAAGGGAGCAGTAGAAAGAGAGGTCTTCTATTCACTGGTTCACTCCCCAAATGGCTGTAATGGCCGGGGCTGGGCCGGGCCAAAGACAGGAGCCAGGAACTTCTTCTGGGTCTTCCACGTGGGTACAGGGGCCAGAGCTTGGACCATCCTCCAGTGCTCTCTCAGGTGCATTAGCAGGGAACTAGATCAGAAGTGGAGCACCTGAGTGCCCAGACGGGACGCCGCCTTCCCTCATGGCCTTACCCACTGCCACACGTGGCCGGCTGCAGAAGTGTTTTCAGACATATAGAAGTCACAAACATCTGCAGGCTGCTACCTAGGGTGACTTTGTGGCTCTGAGATCCCCCTCTGTCTCCCTTCCTTTCGGAGAATTCCAGGTCCTTGAATCCTTTCCCTCCCGCAAACAGGGCTTGGGGACTCTGGGACCCAGGGTTTTCTAGGAGTAACCCCAGGAGATAGGGACCCGCCCAGCCCCGCCTTGGAGTGAGTGGGTGACACAGCTGGAGGGTTGTGGGGGCCCCCAGAGCCCCAGGAAGATGCCAATCCTACCCTGGAGTTGTGACCAGGGGAGTTAGGCCACCCCTGCCCAGGGTACCCCAGGCCAACATCCCTCCCGCACCCCAGGGAGCAGGCACCTCCCGAGCTCTGGAATCAACTGCCGATGTGCCAGCAGGGGCCGGCATGGATTTTCCATTTCCTCCCGGGTGTCTGTGCAAGATTGGAAGCTCAATTCCAGGATGCCAGGGCTCACACAAAGGCGATGATGATGCCTATTGTCTGGGAAATGGCCCATTGTGGAGGTGGGGGTGGGGCAGGAAGCTCAGGAAAGCGCATTGGATCAATGACTCCTTTCTCCGGAGCTGAGACCGTCCTCGGGCAGTCCAGGGGCGGTGCCCAGGGGAAGGGGGAAAGCAGCAGAGGGTTTCAGCTGTGACCCCACTGCTGGGCCTGATGGGGAGGGTGAGGGGCGGGAGGGCAGGAGGGCAGGAGGGAGCAGGAGCCAGGGGGGACCAGAGGCCCCGGGGTGTGCGTTTAGCCTTTGTCCTTTGTGACAAGGCTGTAACTTTCCTGTTTCTCTCTCCCTCCCCTTTGTGTCTTTCCCTCCCTTCATTTTTCTTCCTTCCTTCCTTCCTTCCTTCCTTCCTTCCTTCCTTCCTTCCTTCCTTCCTTCCTTCCTTCCTTCCTTTCTTTCTTTCTTTCTTTCTTTCTTTCTTTCTTTCTTTCTTTCTTTCTTTTTTTTTTTTGACAGGCAGAGTGGACAGTGAGAGACAGAGACGAGAGAAAGGTCTTCCTTTACCGTTGGTTCACCCTCCAATGGCTGCCATGGCTGGCGCACCGCGCTGATCCAAAGGCAGGAGCCAGGTGCTTCTCCTGGTCTCCCATGGGGTGCAGGGCCCAAGCACTTGGGCCATCCTCCACTGCACTCCCTGGCCACAGCAGAGAGCTGGCCTGGAAGAGGGGCAACCGGGACAGAATCCGGTGTGCCGGTCTCCCATGGGGTGCAGGGCCCAAGCACTTGGGCCATCCTCCACTGCACTCCCTGGCCACAGCAGAGAGCTGGCCTGGAAGAGGGGCAACCGGGACAGAATCCGGTGTGCCGGTGCCGCAAGGCGGAGGATTAGCCTAGTGAGCTGCGGCGCTGCCACCCCCCCCCCATTTCTTTTATTTCCTCATTCTTCCACTGCTTCACTTATTTATCCAAGGACCAATTATCAAGGGCTTTCCTAGATGTCAGCCGCTGTCACCAGCACTCAGGACAGGACAGTGAGAAGGATGGACATGGCCGCTGCCCAGGGCGAGACAGACACCAAACCCTGAACACACAGATACCAGCGACAGCCTGCAGTCCTGGGGAGCCTGAAGAAAGCAGGTGCCGATGCCCTGTCTCCAGTCTGCGGCTGAGCACTGCCCAGACCCCTGCCCCGTGCCTTTCTTCCCCCACACTGTGGCTACAGTAGACCCCGCTAACCTGTGGGGATGCCTGAGACCACGGACAGTACCTGTTAGGTAGGAAGTCAGATACGAGCTTCTGTGTGTGTGACAAAGACCTATGTCCAGCATAAGCATCTCAAAGTCATCTCGATAACCTGCCAGGCGGGGGTCCGGCCCCTTCTGCCTGATAACCTTCTAGGTGCAGCCCAGTATCTGCATTTCAAAATGATGCTGATCGTCCAGGGGGTCCTGCCCATCCTTCCTCTAACCAGGGCATCGCCAGCCAGGCTTCCTCCTGTCTGATAACTTCAGGGGGAAAACTCAGAAATTTTTCATCCAAAAAGTCCTTTGTTCCACGAGGAACAGAGGTGGGAAGGCAAGGTCCATCCCCTTAAAACCCCTGGCCTCAACCGGAGTGCGCACTCAGCCTTCTGCCTCTCTGCTGAGCCACTCACCTGGCCTGCCCAGGTGTACTCTCCACTCAACCATGTAACCTTGCTCTCCCCCAGTCGGAGCGACTGGGCACTCTCTCTCGGGTCCTGTCTGGAGAGGTGCCCATCCGTTCTTACGGATGTCCCTGCCCTAATAAACCTTGCTATGTTGCTTTTCCAGAACTCTCTGTCTCATGCCTGAATTCTTTCTTGCACGAAGACAAGAACCCTGCCATTCACTGGTAACATACCCAACCTTGTTCAAGCCATGTTTTTTCCTGTAGTGGAGTTTCATTTGCAAATTAGGCCGAGCAGGAGATGAACATCAACAGTTAACAGTAAACCAGAACAATTAAAATTACACACTGTAATAAAAGTTATATGAATGTAGTCTGTCTCTCTCAAAATATCTTATTGTACTAACTCACCTTTCTTTTTGTGATAATGTCAACATTTTGCATTTATGGGTTGACATTTTTATCACATTTGAAACATATTCAGTCAATGACTTTAAATTTTTTTTTCATTTTATTTGAGACAGATGGAGAGAGAGAGAGAGGGAGAGAGAGAGAGAGAGAGAGAGAGAGAGAGAGAGAGTCTTTCACCTGCTGGTTCACTGCCCAAATATCCACAACAGCCAGGGCTGAGCCTAACCAAAGCCAGTAGCTGAGAACTCAATCCAGGTCTCCCACATGAGTGGCAGGAGCCCAAGGAGTTGAGACACTACCTGCTGCTTCCACAGGTACACACTAGCCAGAAAGCTGGAGGGTCTAGAGCTTGAACCAGAACTAGAAACTGTGATTTGGGCTGTCAGCCTCCCAAAAGGCATCTCAACTGTTGCACCAAGCGCCTCCCCCATGAGTTTGTTTTACAGCAGTCTTAGGGTGGAAAGTCCAGTGTTCCCAGGTACTGGGCTCCTTACACACCCACACCCTCCCCCACCACGAAGAGCGGTGTATTTAATACAACCAATGAACCAATGTTACAGCAGAACCAAAGTTACAGCAGTGTCAACCGGAGTCCACGGTTGGCAGTAGGCTCCTCCCTCAGTGTTGTACATCCCTTGGATTTTGACAGATGTATAGTGACGTGTATCTGACACCAAACCACTATCTGAATGTCCCTAATGTAAATTCAGGATTTAGCCTCTCATCTGTCTCCCTTAGCCCAAGGTGTCCTGCCTACCCTGAAGGGTTAACCACTCACCAGAAGGAATTCACTGAATTGAGGGAGTGACACAGCTGGCCCTACAAGGTTCTCATCATAGGACTCAAGACGCCATTTCTTTTTTCTGTAACAGATAGAGCCCTGTTGGCCAGGCACTGTCCAGAGGGCTTTGTGTGGGGGAATTCCAGGTCCAGGCAGAGAAATTCCAGGTCTGGGGCACAAGATGACCACCACCGACACATAACCCCCTAGACTTACTGGTGCCATCTGACCACTGTGAAAATTCCCTAAAGAGTGTGGCCTTGCTGATCAATCAAAGGAAGGTCACAAGCACCACTGATCCACCAGGGACTTGAACACCTCCCTCTCGGCCCAATTTCAATCCATAAGGACCTCTACCCTAACTCCTCAGTGAGCCCAGGAATGAAGCAAGAGCTGTCGGCCCCTTGCCCTGAGCTGTGCAAACAAACACCTCCCTTCTTCCTGCACCCTGATGTCAGTGATTGGCTTCCTGCATGTTGGGTGAGGGGACCCAGTTTGGAGGGTTCTACAGCAATGCCTCCAACTAGTTTGAGGCATTGTTCTGCAACACATCCACCAGTACCAATCATTCAGGAAGATTTTCCTTCTCGGAAAACATTCCGTGCTCTGTCTGTCCAAGCCTCCTGCTTCCTCCCTGCGTCCCTTGCAACTACTCAACCTGCTAACGGTTTCCATCGCTTTGCCTTTCCTAGAATGTTGTTCTACAGTTGGAACTGTACAGCGTGCGGCTCGCTCAGATGGTTTTCATTTGGCAGAGCACTCGGAAGGTTCCTCCATGTGCTTCATGCCTTGACAGCTTCTGACTTTTCAGAGCTAAATAATATTCCAGTGACTGGATGTACCACAGCCTGTTTACCTGTTCACCTATCGAAGGAGAGCTTGTTTGTGGCCAGGTTTTGGCAGTTATGGGGAAAGTTGCTACCAACAATCCTGTGCAGGCTCTTGGGTGGATGGGAGTTTTCAACTCACTTGGGTAAATACTAAGGAGTGGGATTGCTGGATTATACAGTAAGAATTTCGTTCTGTAAGAAACGGCCAACTTGCGTTCCTCGGTGGCTGTAGCATTCCCACCAACAATGGACAGGAGGTCCTGTGGCCCAGGTCCTCGCCAGCATTTAGAGTTATCGGGTTTAGGGTTTTGGCCATCCTAGCCGGAGGGCAGTGCTGTCTCATGGTTGCCTTAATTCCAATTCCCTGACAATGCATGAGGCTGAGCATCTTTTCATGCGCTCATCTTTTCTTGGCTCTGTACGTCGGCTTCAGTGAGGAGTCTGTCCAGATATTTTGTAAATTTTAAATCGGGTGGCTTGTTTTCCTACTGCAGAGTTTGAAGAGTTCATTGTGTGTTTTGGCTGGCAGTCCTTTATCTCAAATGACTTCTGCCACTATCTCCCCCACCCCACCCCGATCTGTGACTGACTTCTCATCCTCTGCCCCACGGTCATTGTCTTCTCAAGCAGCCTTTCTGACCTGACCTGTCCCCTCCCTGTGAGGGCTCTAATTCCTCCTCTGTTGGAATCCTGGGTGTTGTTCCACGAGGCGCCAGGGTTCTGTTCTTGTCTACAGAACTCCGGTTGTCATGGTTTCAGGTGCTGTGTTTTCAAGTTCACTGATATTTTCCTTTCAGTTTCCAATCCATTGTTGAGCTCGTCTAGTTAACTTTTTCACTGTAGATATTAAACAGTTTATAATTTCTCTTTGGTTCCTTTTAGAGTTTTCATTTTTCTTTTGTGGTTCCCACTGGGGCATTCATTCTATACGCAGATTCTTTAAATCCTTAAAAACACATTTATAATGAAAGTTCTAAGGTCTTTCACTGCTCATCCCAACACATGAGTCACATCTAGATCTGCTCATACTGATAACTTTTTCCTCAAGGTTACGGGTATTGTTTCCTGCTTTGCATTTTTTTGTATATTTAAACTTATATGTTGGACACTGTGGCTGCTGTGTTATTGGGATCTGGAGTTTAATTGTCTTATTTTAAAGACTGTTGTGCTTTATTTATTTATTGTTGAAGATTTTATTTATTTATTTGAGAGGAGAATTACAGACAGTGAGAGGGAGAGACAGAAAGAAAGGTCTTCCATCCACTGGTTCACTTCTCAAATGGCCGCAACGGCCAGAGCTGCGCCGATCTGAAGCCAGGAGCCAGGAGCCTCTTCCTGGTCTCCTGTGTGGGTGCAGGGGCCCAAGCACTCCGGCCATCTTCCACTGCTTTTCCAGGCCACAACAGAGAGCTGGATTGGAAGAGGAGCAGCCGGGACTAGAACCAGCGCCTATATGGGATGCTGGCACCACAGATGGAGGATTAACCTACTGTGCCACGGTGCTGACCCCAGTGCTTTTTTATTTTTTAAAAAAGACTTATTTATTTATTTAAAGGCAGAGTTACAGAGAGGCAGAGGCAGAGAGAGAGAGAGAGAGAGAGAGAGAGAGAGAGAGGTCTTCCATTTGCTGGTTCGCTCCCCAAATGGCTGCAATGGCCGAAGCTGTGCCAATCTGAAACCAGGAGCCAGGATCTTCCTCCAGGTCTCCCATGTGGGTGCAGGGGCCCAAGGACTTGGACCATCTTCCACTGCTTTCCCAGGCCATAGCAGAGAGCTGGATGGGAACTGGAGTAGCCAGGATTCAAACTGGCGCCCACATGGGAGGCCGGCACTACAGGCAGTGACTTCACCCGCTACGCCACAGTGCCTGTGTGCCTGCTGTGCTCTTGTTCTGGTCTGAATCCTCCTGGTTCTGCCATCAGTCAACTTTGGGGTCTTGACAGGGTGGGTGTGGGGTGGTCCCTAAGGGATGATCTTCCTGGAGCCCCTACTGATTTCTGCAAGGTCTCCCCACTCTGGCTGGTGGTGCCAACTCCATGTGACTTCCCATAAAGCAGTCTGGCTCCCAGCATGCATGGGTGCAGCTTAGCACCCAGTCAAAGGTTGCTAACATCCCTCTCTGCGGTTTCCAGCTCTCCTGCAACCTGCTGTGCAAATTCCAGCAGCCTCAAACTGCAGTCTTGGCCTGCTTCAGCAGCAAGGCCTCTGCTCTCTCTCTCTCTCTCTCTGGGCTCTGCTCCCTGTGCTGAGATCTGGAAAGTTGGGGTGGAAGCTGGGATGAGTGTCAACATCACTTCCTGCGTTTCCCTCTCCCAAGGCCCACAGCCAGCTGGGAGCTGGAATCTTGCAGGCGTAGGAGCCAGAGGAAGCCAGGAAAGCTCACTGCTTCTCTGCCTCCCGCAAATACTCCCTCTGCCCTTGTCCCTCCTGCGGCCATGCTCCTGGTGGCTGGGGGTGGGAGATGAGCAGGGGTCTGCGGGGGACAGGGAGCCCAGAGGAGGCAGCTGGGGGGTTGCCTGCCCGTTCTGTTTGTAACTCTCCAGTGGAGGAAGGAGAGCGAGGCAGCTGTGTGTGGCTGAGCCTGGAGAAGAGGCAGAGGAGGAGGGGCTGCTGGGAGTGCAATTAGCAGACAGTTTGAGACCGATGAAGTGGGTAATGAGAGGCACTAGGACAGAATTTCATGCTAAAAAGGTAAGAATAAAGACCGGGAGGGAGACTGTTGCTCATGAGCCCACTCAGGCCTGATCAGCCCCGGATCTACCCTGTGCCCAGGGCTAGGGGCCTGGGACCTGGCTCCTCCTTCCCAGGAGGACCCCTTCCCCGGGGGCTGCCTCACCGACACTCGCCACGCTTACACGAGCCGGGCCCCGGCCAGCCATTGTTGCGTGCTTTGCTTCTTGCTGTGTCTTGTAGTGACACTACGAAGCTGGGTTTTATTGTCACCCATTTTACATAGGAGAAAACAGGGGTGTAAGGAGATGTCGGAGAGACAGAGCATCTCACCATGGCCTGACACCAGAGGGTGATAGACAGAGCGCTGGTCTCCTGGTGGAGGTGATTGTCCTTTGGTCCAAAGAATTATTCATTTTAATGATTTTAATGGCAGAGTTAGAGAGAGAAAGAGAGAGAGAGAGAGAGAGAGAGGCAGACTCAGAGAGAGAGAGAGAGATCTTCCATTTGCTGGTTCACTCCCCTAATGGCTGCAATAGCTGGGGCTGGGCCAGGCCGAAGTTTGGAGCCTAGAACTCCATCCGGGTCTCCCATGTGGGTGGCAGGAGGCCAAAGGACTTGAGTCATCTTCCACTGCCTTACTAGGTGCCTTAGTAGGGAACCAGATCAGAAGTGGAGCAGCCAGGAACTAAAACCTGTGTTCATATGGGATGCTGGCATCGCAGGCAGCTGCTTAACCCACTGTGCCACAGTGCCGGCCGCCGGCCCTGGTAACCATCCTTCAGAAAGGCGACAGCTCTGGTCGCTGTCCTCTGGAGACAGGGAGCCTGCCTCCCAGAACCTGCTGTGTGTGCGAGACGCTTGGTACAGGCTCCCAGCTGTGCGTGTTCCGTCCCTTCATCTGAGATCCGTTTTGTTTCTCAGCTGTCACACTTAGAAGGCAAAGTCCTATTACCTCTGCATTTTGCACATGACAGAGCAGCATTAGAGCAACTCAGTTCTTTGTCCAGGGGGCCCCTCTGGGCATGGATGGGACAATCCTAACATCCATGACACTTGCAGACAACAAGCATACGCTCGCTGAGTGCACACTGTGTGCCGGGACTTGTTCCAGGCCCTACAGATAAAGCAATGAAGGAAGCAGCCAAAAACCCTGCTCTCCTGAAGCCTGGGTTCTGGAGAGGGTGTCCAGAGACACAGATAAGCCCCGAGGAGGGAAACAACTGAGGCCTGTAGGAAGTGGGGTTGTAGGCTGGAGACTGGTTTTGCACGACACTCTGGGAAGGCCTCGCTGAGAGCAAAGCTTGAAGGGGTGAGGACCCAGCAGGTGGAGAGCTGCAGATGCGTCTATCTAAGGGGGCAGCCGGTGCCAAGATCCAGAGGCACAGCTTCAAGTGTGGCATAGACAAGGTGAAGGAGGGTTTCTCCAGGGGCTGTGCAGCCAGGCTTGGGGGAGGGGCGGCAGGTGCAGCTGGCGGGAGTGGTGGGGGTGGAGTAGGAGCCCTGAGTTCCCACACTCACTGAAGTCTTCCATCCTGAGCGTCTGGGAGGAGAGGCTGCTGTTTCCTGGAGGACCGGGCTCGGGGAGACAGCCTGCCTCACACAGGGGCAGGTGATCCGTGCTGAGACACCGCACGCAGAGGGAGTGCAGCCAGCTGTGGGTGCTGTAGGTCGCGCAGGCGCCGCGGGCAGGCCCAAGTCCTCAGCTCGCTCTCTCTCTCTCTCGCTCTCTCTCTCTCTCTCTCTCTCTCTCTGTGTCTCGTCTGGAGAAGCCCCTCACCCCCTGCTGAGACACAAAGATCTGAGCCAAGAGTAGGGTTGAGAGGTGATTCCTTTGCTCTGATCTGGGGCCAGGTGGCCCACTTTGATAGCCTCCAATTTGTCCCTGCATTGTGCCTTCCCCTTGGGATCTGCCACTCTGCTGCTTCCTGCCCCACAGCTGAAGTGACTCCCATGGCCAGCCCAAGCCCTACAGTGTTCCCCCAGCTCTTTCTCTTAGCCCAGGGGACACAGCCTGACCTCGGGAACAAGACTTGCCAAAACCACATGAGTGCAGAGAACAGACTCCCTCACCGTGTGGCGACCTGGGGCAGGTGCCTGTCTGTCTGGGCTGGAGCGGGGCCACACAGCACTCCCCTTAGAGTCCACTGGGAGGCTTAAGTGAGGAGATGCCCAGGATGGGCGGAAGGTCCATCTCCCTCCTCTAGGGCCCAGCACCCTGCAGCCTGACAGGTCCCTGGTCCTCTCTCGGGCTCCATGGCCGGCGCCTCGTCTCCTGTCCCTCTGTCCCTCCAGACCACACGAGAGGTCCCCTTGGAAGTTTCTCTCATGCTCACAGAGGGCTGGCTCTGTGCAGCCAGGCAGTTGACAGGGTGGTCAGAGGGCTTCGTCCCCAGCTGGGCCTGCCTTCCCGGCTCGCCTCTGCCTCTGGGGAGTTTAGGAGAGTCTCCAAGGCTCCCTTGAAACCTCTGTGTCGTCATCTGAAGACCAGAACCTTGTCGTGGAGATGTGGCAGGAGTGAGGGAAGATGATGCGAAGAAGGCATTTAGCACAGCAGCCTCAGATCCTTGTCATTATGAGTGTGACAGCTCAGTCCCATGCCTGGGCCCACACCGCGTCCACCCAGAGGTTATCTAGGCCAGGGGCCAGCGCATTTTTTTCTGTAGAGGCCAGGAAGTGAATATTTTGGGCGTGCAGGCCATGGGGTCTCTGGCTCAGCTTCTCAGCTCTGCTGTCTTAGTGTAAAATCAGCCGTAGACAATATGTGCGTGAAAAGGTGAACTTGTGTTCCGATAAAACTGTATTTGCGAAAGCAGGCCATGGGCTGTTTGGCCCATGGGGCATCTTTTTCCAGCCCGTGAGGTAGACCAGGCAGAAGTGCCCAGCTGTAGAGCTGCCCTGGCCGGCGAGGACGGGGAAGGAAGCCGGGATCCCAGGACCTGCCCTCGATTGTTCTCTCACTGTTCCCAGGGGTTCCTTTCTCTCCT